AAACAATTGCATGACTGGCAACGGCATACTCTTCTTGCTGCGTATCTGCTTTCCTATGCACCTCAACTACTTGGATTTCTTCTGTTTGTACTACCATCAAGCAGTTATAAGAGAGAGTTCAGTGAAACATTCATGGCTAAAACGTTCTTCAAGAGATTCTTTGCACAAACACGAGAAAAATATACTATACACTGAATATCACCTTCTCAAACTCGGAACTTTACAATTTGGTTCATTAATATGAACCATTGATATCTAATCTAACGATGCTATCCTTGTAAAAGTTCTTTACTCATAAAAATATAATAAAATCGACAAATTCGGGTGTGGGTGTTTATGACAAAAGAATTGAGCTGGAATAAAGTAAACAATAGACAATACGAAGATATTTCTAGAGATTATTATTTAATCTTTGTAGTGAAATATATTTTAGTTATATAGTAGTATATCTTGCAAAGATCGGAAAGTAAGAAAATCGAAGTTAATTTTGTGCACACGACGGTGTCGAAACTTACTCGATAATGCATAGATATAAAATTAAAAAACCTTGTCAACAAGACTTTAATCAGCGAATACGCAGATTACTTTTCACAATCGACAGAGAAATCATTTGATAGATTTTTGTATAAAGAAGATGATTCTCAGCATTTCTTCTAATCAATTCTATTTTCACTGGTAATCACGGCAAAATTTGTCATTTCTTTCTTATGTGAAGATATGTTTCAATGCCAAAACGGATCATAGATATACGTGGTCCGGCCGCTTGAACGAGTAAATAATAGATCACATCAATTATTTTCAACGTTACATAGGAAAAGCTGGCCCACCAGATTGGTGTCGTAATAGTACAGAATTTGCAAATAATCAAGTCGATATAACTCTATGAGGAGCTGTGTGGAAATACTCAGTTTTAATATAATTAATGAAGTAGTATATGAATAAAATGATTTTTAATTAAATCATATCTATATGAGGTGTAATGTTAAATTACTAGTAATATACTTTTTCATTATTTTAAGTGTTTGCTCTTACTATTATATATATATAGAATAAATAACAAGGATAATCTTATCATGACAAAGAGTCTTTCATAGTCATTTTATTTCATTAAAATATTTTTCTTAACACACAATGTATCAAACGTAGACAGTTGTATTGCTAGATCGATATAATCCTCGAATCCATTCCACTTCTTTTTCATTGAAACTGTTTCTGAGCACATTAACCACGTTCAGATTAGCGTTAAACAACCATATAGGTAATTCAGTAAGTAAATTATTCGACAGATCCATAGTATTAATGTTTCGAACTTGTCTCATTGTTGTAGGGATGGTCGTGATACTATTGTTACGGAATACCAATGATGTACAATCAAACCAAATCAATGTATCGAGACCGTCAAGTGATGTTAATTTGTTTTTGCTCATATCGATTGTCGTCAGAGTAGATAAATTCGTTGGAAGATGATCGATCGCACAATTGGAAGCACTCAATCCTCGTAATCTTTGATATCCATTAAGAGCATCAAGTGAAGAAAGATCATTATTGTTATCAACGGTTAGATATTGAAGAGACATCATCTTGCTTAAACCATTAGGTAGTGATTTAAGTCGATTGTCTGTCAATGTCAAATTGTTGAGAAGAAATAATTTTTCAATCGTTTCAGGCAATACTTCAAGGCCACTAGAAATGATAGATAAATTTCGAAGATTAGTCAGATTGAATAGCTCCGTAGGAAGAGTAAGAGACTGAGAAATTGAGATAAGATTTAACGATGTAAGAGTAGAAAGACGAGCAATCTCCGAAGGCAGAATTAGATTGCTGGAGTATCGCAATGTTAGCGATTGTAAATTTTTGAAACAGTAGATGGATAATGGAATACGTTCTATGCTGGTTAGAGTTAGCTCGATGACTTGACCTTGCATATTGACGACAGCATAATTAAACGCTGTGGGTAAAGCGGATGACAATGGATTGATGGTAACTCTCAAGAGAAGTGATTGAATAATATTCTTATCGGAACTGAATGAAGAACAGTCTAATGTAGACACTGAAAAAAACGTGTTATAGAGGAAAAAATATCGTTTTTTTTGAAGTTGAACTTACGTGTTGTACTAACAAGAGTCCAACAGCTAAGTAAAACCAAAATGAAATACATATTGGTGATCATCATTGACGATGTTTTTTTTATCGCGGTATACAAATGAAATGAAAGAATACTCTTCTCCTTTTTTTTATATTATATTGATTCTAAATCCTTTCGTGTGTCCAATTTCATGCCAGCTATCTGTATTTATTTGCATATTAATCCTTTAAAATAAAAACCAATTACTGAAGCTCTGTTTTCTTAATTTACAAGTACAGTGTTTTGTTATTTATAAGTAAAACGTTCTACTTTATATATATATAGTTTTTAATAATAATCATTCTAAATATCTAAATTAAATTTTAATCTTCAATTTCGAAAGAAATAACTCAAAACGTTTTATAAATATGTGAATGATGAGTCAAAAATTGACTATATTCAAAAAGGATTTATTTCTATTATTTTATTTGCACTGCGTTCTGATAAAATATTACAAATAATGAAAACGAAAATATTCCTAAAAGAAAAAAACGATCAAAAAAATTGATATCGTATAAAAATGATTCATCTATTGGAAATAAAGTTAGCATTAGATGTGGATTTTTTTGATTTTCTTCGAAAGATATGATCTGTTTAATTCTTGTATTAATCAATTTCAATTGTTAAAAAATTTTATTGCAAAAAAAAACAATTACAGTTGTTTCCCAATAAAAAAAATTAAAATAAACTATACTTTAGAAATTATAGAACTCTTTATGTTACATCTGTTAATATATTTTCTTTTTTTTTCTAAAACATATAGAACTATGAAGCATGATTATTCATTATACCTTGCTTTTTATATTATAATCTTTTGTTATTTTGTTTTTGACAGATGTACTAATAATTCAACATTTATCCGATGTCAACAGTCAACGCATGACTATCGCGTTTCATAATATTTTATTAAATTAATATAATACATACGATTTTTATCTTGACAAGGTTTTAAATGATGGCAACAAAAGAATCGGTTCGATCATTGTCGCAAATGGATAAAGCAACCATTGTTCATGTTCGACTTGTATTTCTTCGAATAGGTAATTAATAAAATATATCAAATAATATTTATTTATCATAAATCTAGGTGAAATTGATACATTAAATGAAAAATATCAAGCACATGTATCTATTGAATCTCGTTGGTCGATTTTATTTGAAAAATTTTCATATAATCTATCATCAGATGATCAACAACGTTTAAATAATGGAAAATCAATTTCACTTGAAAAATATTCACAATCTTATTGGCATCCACAACTTTACATAGAAAATGGTTTAGGTGACTTGAAAGAACAAATAAAATATAGTGCAAAATTAAATAAAGAAAATCATACAATTGATATTTGTGAACATCGTGATATAAAAGGATTCTTTTGGGAAAAACTTGAATTACAACATTTTCCAAGTGATATTCAAGATTTATCAATATCATTAACTTCAATGTTTTTTATTGATAAAGTTATTTTAATTGCTGATCCCAATCATTTCAGTGGGATTAATAGAGAAGCATTTGTTGATCAACAAGAATGGTCTTTATATGAACATGTTGATACCAAACAAAGATATATCAATGAATTTCTTTTTCAAACTAATGATGATGATGATGATGATGATGATCAAGACAATGATAATCAACAAATAACAAATAATACAGAAAATCGAAAACGTTCAATTTTAACAGTTACTTGTCATGCTGGTTTGTAATTAAACAAAAATAAGAAAATGAATTATATTTTTTCTATTAAAAGCTCGTCATTTCGAATATTTCTTTTGGAATGGATATTGTTTGATTTTATTAATCACAATTTTATCTTTTTGTACTTTTGGAATACCATTACAGTAAGTTATTGATAAATCTAAGCTTATCAGAACAACTTGCAGTAAAAATTTCTTTTTCTCTTATAAGAAATTTAGTAAATCGACTTCAAGTAACATGTACACTTATTCTAACATCAATTACATTTCGTTGGACAGTCAATCGATCACTTGTAAGATTAAATTATTTTGTTTGATAACTATGAAAATATTTATCAATTTAGCCAACAATTTCTTATTTAACATCATTGGATAAATATGGATTATTATGTATATTTAATCTTGTTTTTCATTCAATTTGGCATAGTACTATTAGTGTGATTGCATGGGAACATACAACAAATTATTCTGTAGCAAAAAATTCATGGATTATGTATTTAGATCGAGGAGCTTTTTGTGTTTTTTTAGGTCTTTTTATTATTTTACATATTGGAATGATTATCTGGTTTTATTGTGTTCCATTTAAACATCGAAAACAAATGAAACAAAAAGATGATCGATATCGAATATTAATACATGAAAAAATGAAGGACAAGAAAAATCAGTCTATTAACAAAAGAGAAAATAAACAATTTGTTATCACAAATTTAGTAGAAACTTAAGATTTTTCTTGTTATCTGATCATTAACTGATTTCGAATAAAATATATGTTCAATTCTATAGACAATTTTAGTTATTTACAAATTAGATATAAATACGAATAAAAGCCTTGATTTCTTTTCGACAGATCGGACATGTTCGAAGTGAATGACCACATGGAACACAAGTGGCTAAGTGACCACATGGAATACATGCAATTTGTTTCTCTTCTGTCAAACAGAGGACACATAAATTGGATGATGATGATGAACTATCTTCAGAATTCATTTTCTTGATCTCGTTACTTGATGTTGTCGATGTCGTAATATCCTTGGTATTAATCTGACTTTGTGTGGATAGATCTTCAGTAGAAACCGTAGACGATGATAAATTAGATTGTTCAGAAGTTAGAGTTTCTAAAAATAAAAAAAAAAAAATTTTAATCGATAAGATAATATTTAACTTACGAGTTTGTTCTTTCTCACGATCTAATTTCATTTTTATACTTGGAATAATAATATTTTCTTTGTTTCCATCAATATGAATAATTTGTTTTTGCAGAATAATACAAGCAATTAAAAGATCAGTATCTGACGTAAAATCATCCTCTAAACGAAAACAAAAACATGAATTTATTAGATTTAATTATATAAATAATTCTTACGTTTCAGCCGTAGTTGATCTTCCCAACAACGTTTAATAATTGATAATTTAAAATTTTGACTAAGCAATTGTTGAGATATTGGCAAATCAAGACGTGCAGCAACCATTTGTGCTAAAGTCTTTTCATCTGACACTAATAATTGAGAACTATTTATTGAGGAGTCACTGTGTTTTCTTTTCGATTGATTTTTTTCATTACGCTCTAAAAAATAAAATTTATTATTTATTTATATAAAAATTTAAAACAAACTTTGTAATCTTCGTTTTGATTCTTGAATTCTTTTATAAAACTCATCACCACATAGCTGTTTTGCATAGGCACACATTGGAAACCATCGACAATGTTCTACCATTGGATTATCTTTTGAATCCCAGTTCTGTAATGATCCATTGCAATAGAAACAGGTAACAATTGTTTTTGTACCAGTATAGAAAAATCCAGCTCGAACAAAGTCATCAACTGATGGTAGTGATTCTTCAGGCCAAGAAGTAAATGATTCTAAACGTTTTGGTATTTCCATGTAGTTCTTATGGTATGCTGATGTATGAACAATTTCATTTAATCTTGAATTATTTGTT